AGACGACTTTTGAATTAGGATGAACCTAATTTGTTGGTCTAGCAGGAGAAATATTTCCCTTTCAAATATTCATCACATTGCCAAAATATTTTCCATATCATTCAAAAGTAAATGAAATTTCTATGCCAATCAAAAAACTTTTCTGCAGTATGATTTATCAATGGTGAACAAATTTACCCATGAAAGGGAGAGAGAGAGAGAGAATGAGAAGAGACGATTTATTAGCTAAGCTCTAATAATTCTTTCCACATACCTCGGCAATTAGTTATTATTGTAATTTGATTAGATTTCTTAGATTATTAGATGCTTTTAATAATTTTTATATATTTCCGATGTCGACATTGTTGACATAAATAAATAAATAAATAAAAAAAATATAAATAAATAAATTAAGTCGTTCAGTCGAATGCAGGAAGCCTTAGATCATATACGCTTTATGGTGTTCTATTTAAGTTTTTTCATTACCGTTTTGAATTGTTTTTAAATAATCAATGAAGTGAAAAGCTTTACATTGCAAGTATAGGCAAAAAATATTTACTACCGTCTCTTTATCTATCAATGTGCTGATTTAAGTAAAGCTTACCCCCCAGACAGATCCGAGAAATTTGTTCGATTTGAAAAACTGTAAAATATATTCTATTCGCATTCGACAAATTTACAACTTACAAGTATTTAAAATGTACCTAATAAACATTTTAAAAAAGTTGTAAATTATAAAATATAGTCTCAAAAAGGAACAGAAAATGTCGTGCATGATATATGACTGTGAATATATGAACGGTTTTACGATGAACGGTGGCTATAGCCGGAGCCGGAAGACTTGCTTCTTTCTTTAGAGGATAAATTAGTACTATATACTATATTCGATAAGTATTTTGCAAGTAGAAATGTACCAATGAAGTTTCAACTAGGGGTTTTTAGAGCTCTTAACTCAATTATGTCTCTATGTAGAAATAAGAAAATAAGAACATTGACGACCAGAGATCATAACCAACCCGGTTATCGAGAAAATAAATAAATGTTTGATAATTGCAATGCGACTAGCCTTACCCGCAGTTTCTTCCTTCTCTAATGTTATATCGTAGCTTACCTCAACCCCTAGATTTGCAAAAATATTTGCATACGTTTGTACTTATGATAATTTTTTGAATATGTGTTTAATATTATGCCTATTTATTAATCAAATTTCTGCTAAATTGCGGTAATTTTTCCCAGACATTCGCTCACACACGCCATTGCCAAAAGCTTTTTCCAATACCTTCACATATTTGTCGATTATTTACGTAATTAAAATGACATAATATGTTCATAACGAGCTCCCAATCAACCCAAAACTGCATTAAATACCTCATATAGTAATATCCGTGGCACACACTTGTGCGCTGATTGACTTTTAAATAGTTTCACGCATACATGTATACATACATATGTATATCCCCTCAATGCATTATAATCTCATTTAAATACGTTTTGGGTCCCTTTCAATTTTCATGATACACCTAAAATTTTCGGCATTTGAAACGAATCAAATATGTATGTATGTGTTGGAGGAAGCCACTTAAATGTCATGCATCATGGAAATTGATGTGAATAAATTATAATAAAAACTTGCACGCTGTAATAATTCAGATTAAAAAGTATTTATACGCATGGCAGCAACAACATGATGCGCAGAACTTTAATGCCATTGGTTGTGGGACGGGAAAAATAAAGCGCATTGGGCCAGAGGCTTATGCCGCATTGTCGTCCTCCTGTCTGAATATCTTTCTGTATATAGCCGGCACTTGTATGTGTATGTGTGCCTTGCGCTGATTTCACTATAATAAATTGACATTTTTCGGACATGTCTCTGAAGTGGCTGCCAGAATGCCAGACAAGCGGACGGCCTGTCTGTTTGTCATTTCAGTTTGTTTGCTATTCCGGCATGCGATTTGCGTTGCAGAGTAAAAAAATAAAAAAAAAAACATTTCATATATAGAATATAAAAAAGGGAATTTTGTCACTTGGCAAGTGGTTGCTCTCTCTGTTGATTTTTGGATAGTTATCTTTAATAAAATGGATTCAGAATGATGGGGAACTTACTGAAAACATGTTGGGACATCTTTTTCCTCACACATTGCAAATTATATTATAAATATTGATATTTCGGACATCTAAAAGACATACCCAGTATGTAAATATCATATATCGCCTACTTTCCCTTAAGCTGAATGAAAATATCGCGCTCTCTTGACCGCAGCGTTATAAAAGAAAACAGACTACTTAAACATAAGTTTTATCTGCACTTCAAAGTTTTTCTTTGCGTTCTGTAAACTTGAATGTTTTATCCTTGCTGTTTAGCTTAATGTTCAGCAGGCGTTAGGCTGAAAAGGTTTCCTTAGAATGCAACATACTTATCTTTTTCGACCCCTCAGATAATCCAGCTTTGGCAATGTCCAGTGCAAGTCAATGCTATTACACAGAGCTAAAGGCGACTACGCACCCAGCATGACAGCTTCAACAAATCTTCCTTACAAAGTCTAGCAGAGACAATCGGCAGGGCGCCTGAGGCAAAGCAGTGCAACAAAACAGCCAAACAACACAGAGAACAAGCAAAAACAAAGCAAATAAACAAGATAAACAAACACAGGAGACAACAGGAGGAGCAAATGGGGGTGGGGGTGCTACAGAAACAAGAACAACAACAGCAACAGTAACAACAACAGCAAGGGCGAAACGAGCTCAGTAGCGAGCACATAATGAGCATAATGGGAGGGCTACGAGCATGCACATGAGTGGGCTAGAGCTTTTTGTGTGTGTTAAAATAAGCGCCACTTTACGTGCACGCACACACCCATAAACACACATGTCACACCCCCACACATACACACACACACACACACACACATGCGACCGCAGTTGCTGACTGCAGGCCGCCCCTCAATGCGTTTAAGTGCATAAAATGCCGACAGCCAACTGCTACCCTGGATGCCACTGAGGCTGATTCTGCTTCTGCTTCTGCTGATGCTGATGGTGATGGTGATGGTGATGCCACAGCCATAGTAGAAAACGAGGGCAAAGGCACGTCGCCAACCATTTAGAGTAATCTTGAAGCTGTTTATTTATATATCTCAAGGGTTGCACGTAACAATGCCAACCAAAGCTCCATACACTCGTGTGTGCACCTTCACATTCGGGCATGAGGTGACAGTGCCTGTGTCGGAGTCGGAGTCCTGCCACCCCCACTAAACGCGGCTAAACTGCAGCAACTACGAGGCTAAGCTTTGTTCAGCTGGAAAGCGACGGGTTTTGCGTCTAAGTCGACAAAGATTGATAGACGCAGAAGGTTGCATTAAAAGCGTTCACCAAACAGCTATGTGTAGGGAAACCGAACTAATATTTCTGAACATATGTATGTGCATTGGAAATTAGAAGAGTGCTCAGCATATATTTATCAGCTGCGACTTTAAATTTCGTAATTAAAGATTAAACAGTGGGATATGAACCAACGAATAGTACAAGTTGACACTAGAGTAATATTTTTAGTATTTGTGAAACGTTTACTAAATAGTAATTCATTTAAAGTCTACAACTAAAACAACTGACGTTTTCGTTTTATCTAAAGAAGTGCACGAACGGGCAAATCCATCTTAACTAAAATATTCGATAATAATGAATAATCCGCACTTTTATACTATACACATATGTAGAAAAACAAATTAACTGATTTAACACAGTGTTACAATTGGAATTACTTCATTGTTTAACTTGAAATATAGTTATCTAACCACAAAGAAATAAATAGAAAAACTATTCGGAATCTATATGGCACTCTGAGCAGCATTTGAACATCAGAATCTAAGACAACAACTCAACTTAATAAAGACAAAACATGTGTAGTTGAGGAATCCTTACATGTCTCATTGTCTTTATTATTATTATATTAAACAATGGCTTGTATTCCATAATAAAACTATGAGTAATCAACGCTTCCATTGCTGCTTATCGAAGTAAACTCCATACTTCAATTTTCTTCCATACATTCAGGTATTAGTCACTATTCAATTTCCACACACCATATGCTCGCAAATATTTTACCACACTCCACTAATCTGCGGCTGTAAGGTACACAGGTAAGACTTGGAACTCGTATAGCTATTGGCATAAGCTGTATGCTTCAGTAAATTTGTATTAAAGCTAGCGGAAATTAAACACACAAAAGCTTTATAATCTTAACGCACACATGAGCACATCCTGGCCGGAACTCTAACTATAGTTGCATGTATGTGTGTTTGAAAATATTTGTTTATACTTAGCAAACTAGTGTCTCCCCAATTTTCTAAGCAAAATTCAATTTTGTGCGATATTTTTTCAGCATTCTCGATGTTCGACATTAAAATATGTGTCTATGATTTAAGGAAGAAAATAGCTTCTACTTTAGATTCATTTAAACAAAAAAGTTGAGTAAAACAAAGTGTTCTCAAAATGGGAAAACAAATGTATACAAAAATTAGGTTATATATTTTAAAAATAGTATATCCCTTTACCCTTTGGGTTCAGGGTATAATTAACGAAATCTGTTAATGTAATTTTCAAAATTTGAAATAGACTTGTTATGATTGTTCGCACCTCAATTTAAATTGATTTAATTGCAATTTAACTGCCATTTAGTTAAATTACAAAAAAGGTATTGAACATCCATAGCCGCGCCAAACTAGAATATATTTTCTATTATTTCGATTTAACGTGTTGTTATAGAAACATTTTTGGCAATAAAAAAGCTTTAGCCGGAATAAGTTTTAAGCCCGAAAATGTTGTTAATTCTCGCTGTCTACCATTTGGGCAGTTTAGAAGATTCCATAATGATTATTCTTAAAGCTTTTCAGTTATTCTCCTTTGACTTGGGTACGAAGTTCATTTAACTTATGAACTATTTAGCTTGCTATATATGCTGAGAAACATTTTTAAGCGTGATTTAAGGATAGGTAATTTGTCTTAGAAGGACTGCTTTGTGCACTCACCAAAAGTATTTCAAGCCAGCTCAACTGCAAAATGTCCAACTTGCGGGCCCTTGGCAACCTGTTTGCCGCCGAGACACGTGCCACCTGCAAAAGATAAGCCAGTTAGATGGGCCAATTAATAAATGAAATGAAACTAGCGCATCTCACTAGTCCCACCGACCCTTAGCCAACGTACGAGCAGATTCGTAGATAGACGAACAGGCAGACAGCCAGATATACACACGTACGCATATTTTTACACATTTTGTTGGCTGTTGCACTCAAATTGAAAATTGTTAACGGCCTGCTCGAGTCCCAAGCGCCCAGAACATGGCCCAAAACAAAGCAACACACAAGCACAGATGTAAAGAATTCTTAAAGCAAATTGAACATGCGGCAGAAAAAAGGTGCGGGGAGGGGGGGAGTCGAATGCGAATGCGAATGCTACGGATGGCTCTCAAAGTATTCCCCAGCATGTGTTGGACCCGCCAGCCGCAAATGATGGAAATCACTTAACAAAACACAGACGACAATGATGACGGCGCCAACGACAAGGAGAAGAAAGATGGCACACAGCTAATATGCCGGGCGGGTTGACATATACATAGACATACATACATACATACATACATACATACATATATGAATGAATGAATGAATCAGTATTTGTCTACGGCTGTGTGCGTGTATGTGTTTTTCTGTCTTTAATGAGCCTTTGTCTGCTGCATACTTTTTGGCAATAGTGCGGCTTGTGCCTTGCGTCTTGGGCTTTGTTCAAATATTTGCCTAGTGGCAGGAAAATGGCAAGCCAAAAGGCACCATTGCGCTCATTGTTGGCTCAGAAAGCAGCTGTGGCCTTTGTAGATATGGGTACAAAGCGGCCGCCAGCCTTTTCATTCCACGTTTACATGGCGTATGCGCAATATTCACACAATACATTCATTTCCCAGTCACAAAAAGTCGTGTTCCCCAAACGTAAGTGCACGGAAATGTTGTTCTTTTGTTAATGTTTATATGTTAATTGGTGCTGTCAGATTTGTGATGGTGGCACGGCCTTAGATTCTCACACAACACTTTTTTTTAGGATTTAAATGAAATTTTTGACATATTCAATATGTCCTTTCAGCAACAGTTCAGACAAAGGCAATAGCATAGGAATTACTTAAATTTTAAAATTTGCATTTATTTTTTACTGCACTTTTCTCCTTCCACAGTCATCCAACGAAAATTTATTTTCAAAAATTTAATAAATACTTTATGTCTGACGCCCACTATGAGGAAATAATCGTTGATGATCGACATATAAATATTTATTTAAACGAACTTGAAATAACTCGCAAATATTTGGCACCAAAAACTAATACATATAAATATATTTCTTAAAACAATATATTTCTGTATTCAGTAGTTTTCGTTGCAATCAATTTACTATCAAATATAATGGTTTTTACATCTCGTAAATGCAATGTTTATACAATTTTCCGTTTGAGAAAATATAGAATTTATTGTTATTTATCATTTTTCAATGAAGGCTTCAATATAAGTACAACATAAAAGAAGAACTGGCAAACGTTCTTAACGTAATAACCAACAGTTCTGATGAGGAAATACAGTTGATGGGAAAATCGTAATTGGCAATCGTTTCAATCTACATATTTGTTTAATTTATTTTCTTTATTCATGATTATGAAACTTGACACTCGCAGTCATTAATCATTGCGCTCAGCAGGTATAATTGGCAATCCAAAACACAAATCACGAATTTAATTACTTTATCATAGCCCTACAATTAATACAATTAATATTCGTGCATGGCAGTCCATTAACTTTTGAATTTATAAGGTATTTGATATGATTTCTTCCACGAAAAGTGAAATCGACAATTGAAAAAGCAAAATATATATTTTTGGGGTTCTACTAAATGCGACGTTATGGAGAGAATATTTTACTATATAGAAAAATATATATTTTTTATTTGCGTCAGGTCGCTAAACATATTATTATTTACATACTTAAATTTATTAAATACAGCATGACCATACTCGTAGATATTATTTCGTTGAATGCACACAATGATTTATTCTGGCATTTATTAGCAGCATTAGATAAGTTATATAATTGCTTCCTCATGGCTCCCATGCCATATTAGTTTCTGTTAAATGTTACGTTAAAGCGTTTCCGCATTACTACTCCCTCAAACTTGTATTATCCTCGACCACACAAAATATCCTCATCGTCGTGCCTTACACGGCTCGGTACACAAATCACTTTGACGCTGGCCAAGCGCTGACCACAAGCCCCACAGCGATTTGCTTAAGGTTCAATCAAACGAGTTAATAACTTCCGCAATGTGGCCAAAATTAACCATAATTTTGCCCAGACATCGCACACTAAACTGACCTATTACCCATGGCCGTTGGTTTATGCGCCTGAATGCGCCAACGTGTGGCAGTGGCAGCGACAGTGGCAGGGGCAGGAGCAGGGGCAGAGGCAGGGGCAGAGTTGTAGTATGTCGGCCCAGCCAACGGGTGGACTTAAAATGGTAATTTTAGCGCTTGTCTCCAGGGAGCGGCTGAGGGACACGAACAACAGCTACAACAGCAATCAGCACACACGAAAAATGCCAGAGCACATGTCACATTTGCCACATGAGTTGACGTTACTCATTCATCATGGCGATATGGCTGGCGGCTTTCTTGGCCACATGAGTCTGAATGCGACTGCGAGTGGGGCTGCGGTTCAAGGTGAGCTGAGCAAGGAAGGCATTTGTTACACCTTAACCAAAATTTAATTGCTGCCATGTTGCAGAACTTTAATTATAATGCAGGGTCAAAGTGCCTCCGAGCACACACTCACACACTCACGCACACACACACAGGCATACGCTTGAGCTGAAGCGTCCATTTTATGTGCCACACAATACAATATTTATTACTGGCCAGGTAGTAGCCAGCAAGTAGTCAAGCAGTCCGCTCGCTCTGTGCGTGTTGGTGCCCCTGTGACCCCTGTGCAGCCATATTATAGATATGTAAATAGACGCAGGCACACATACGACATGCGTTTATACATATGTACATATAATGTTATATACTTATATATGTATGTATTTGTTTATATGTCGCATGACTAAATTTAGATATGCAGGATCGATAAAAACGTGGCACGCACGCATTTTTAGTGCCAAGCTCCGCACCACACCGCCACACATGCAAGTCGAGCCAGTTGAGCCGCACAAAGGTCGCGCTTTGTTATAATTGGCAAAAGATAGCATAGAGAAGGCTCAGTGTGTGCAGCCATTTGTTAGGTTTGCTTTTTTAATAGAATTAATGCTCAGATTTAGGCCGTGACAAGACATTAAAAAGGGCCCACCAATATACATTCCCATCACATTATTCTTAGATCTCAATCCGCTGATGTACACGAAAGACTACAACAAATAACCATTTTGATGTTATTTAAATTATTAATGCCTATAAAATGATCACATCATTATTGGTTGCGTGTCGAAAATTGTAAGCAGCTTTTCTTTCAAAACTGGAAGGACTTTCTTGTAGGCTGCGTAAGAATCAACAATGAATAAATCAACAATTTTGCAATTGGTTAAGTACATATAAGAAACTACTTATAACATTCGAGTATTTAAGAATATATGTTTACAATATTTGATTCAACCTTTTCAACATTTTTGAAATTTTCTTTAGGTCTGGTTGTGGTTAAATGCTTCCGAGTATTATATATGTATATGGTATATAAATATATATTATGTTCCTGTGCAATTAATTGATTACCTCCTCTAACAAACTTGGCATTTTTGCATGAAATATTCGCGACAACAATTACAATTCGGAACAATTCAGCAGAAAGATCGGCAAAATGCGGAGCTTCAATTGTCTCTTTTCTATTATAAATATTTATTCCACATTTTCTTCTCATGCAGATTACAAATCGAAATTGGCTAGTTAGAATTTTCAATAGAAATCGCACACCAATAAAAATGAATTTATATTGCTTCGAGTAAATTCCGGTTTATTTCAATGCAGAGACAGAATTCACATATCTGTGACATAGTTAATATTTGAATTTGTTAAAGAAAGAACTTTTACCTCAATTAAGCTGAATGTTATTTTAGCAGCTGCCACAAAAATTGCTTTCAATAAAAATGCAGTTTTTGTTAATCAAGAATTTCCTCTGTGGAATGGCAAACAATTTTTAGACGCATAAATACAACAGCAAAACCACATTTTGTACATTTAATTGCATTTCAAAATATGATTTTCTACCGCATTTTTATTCATTGATTATTGATTCAATAAGTATTGCTTTTGAAGTGCTGCTTGTGGGAAATTTGTCAATTTATTTCTGAGTCAATAACATGGATATTAAATGTATTTATTTCTAACATTTGTCCATTTGAAAGTGAAAATTTTGTTTTGATATATTATTTATAAATGTATACGTATAAATAGTACAAGTATGTACCATCAAATGGAGAGTAAGTATTTGTTTCTATGGTAGCACTAAACAGTGAAATATTTGTTCTACTTAGCTCATTTTTTTCTTTATCCGCTACAAAGCAGTTACAATATATAGGAATTTAAAATTCCTCCATAACTCTCGGGCTCTCTCTAGGCAGGAACATGAATTTGTAGTTTCTTAGAGCTACTTCTGACTACAACACCTAATGCAAATAATTAAATATTTTATAATTAATTTGTATTTTACAATTTAAACTCTATTTAAACATCAGCACCAGCCTGACATTACTATGGACTTATGGATGAATAACTTTGTTCCAATAGGTAGGTAGGTGCTGTAGACACAAAACACAAGTAAATAAAGTAGTCCATTTAAAAGTTTTCCATCCAATAGCCCTGCGAATATTTCTAGCCGTGGGCAAATAATCGAATGAAGCTACGAGTATGTTCATACTTTAGCTCGGTGTATATATCTAGATGCGTGGCGCCGAAACACCTGTTTCCATATGCTTTATAACAATTAGGCTAATGACAGCTTTCAGCTTTTATAACCACACAAACATACATATTTATATCGACGAGTGTATATAAATAAACAAATGTATGCATAAGAGTTTAGCTCAGAAATTGAGAGAATTGAAGCAATTATTTTCATATCAACTACTCAGGCATTCATAGCGAGGCAATATTCTTGCTAAGTAGGTTAAGAGACTGAAATATTTATGAGCATACAAGTATATTGATTGAATAATTGGGCAACATTTAAAATCACACTCACACACACACTTATGGTTTTATTTGGAAATTTGTGCCATTTGCATTGCGTATAAATTTAACTATCAATTAGTACATATAGTATAATTTGCGTTGATGTTTTTGAACAGATCGTGAGCATAAACTTGATGCGGGCCTTGCTTTAAATAAGACAAATCGCAAAATGCAAAATGCAGCACAGACAGCCAACAAGGGGAAGAACACACAAACACGAAAGGGTAAAGGCAACAGCAACACAAGCAGTGGAAAAGAGTGACTTAATTAATTATTTATGCGCTGCTTGTTAACACTTTTTAACATTTTTCAACCATGTTGTTTTTTTTTCGCTTTCGAGTTCCGTAGCGGCGCCAGGCCAAGTGGTGCCTAACCGGACTGTCCGGGTCATGGAATGCTCGCCTCTGGTCATTTCACTGAGCATGGCTAAAATAGGGTTAAGTGTGTATGAGCAGAGAACATGGCTAAACTAAAATAAAAAAAAAAGAGAATAAGAACAAACACAGAGTTGAAAATAAAAATTGGGGCAGCTGGCAAAGCTGGCAAATGAAACAAATGGCAAATGTAATTTATTTGACTTGAAATTAGCAGACAAGTTGGCTTGATTTAAGTCAGTTGCAACATGTATAAATTATATAGTATAATAGTGAAGCGGTCGATTTCTCCCGGGCATGTGTGAAACTCTTCCCCAACCACTCAAATATTTATGAGCGTTTATAGTCGCACCGGAAACGCGTGTAAAACGCGCGCTTTACAAATCGAAGGCAAACATCTGCCATGCAGTCAGCCGGCTGTGCGGTTGAACTGCGGATATGGGCAACGGACATGGTTTAATCAGCCAATACAAATAGCCACTGACAGGGGGATGTGTGTGTGTGTGTGAAATGGCAAAAGAGCGCCTGTAACTTGTATTTGTTGAGAATTTTATGTGCGCTTGAAAATAATACCACACGAAGGCAAACGGATCTCTAACCTCTACCGGCCGGTTACTCAGCTCTGAACCGCGCCCATCATAATGTTATTTCCATCGACACCATATTGATTTCCCCCAACTAACTTTTACACTTCCCTCAACCTCAATTATCATTGGACATTCTGGCCAGTCTGCCGCATTTTGTCTAAATATTTTTGTTGCCTATTGTGGAAATATTTGCACTGCATTTGCATTGAATTGATTGGGCTTCGGACCGCCCATTGCTGCACAAATCCCTTTTCATAGTATGTATATTTGAATGTATATACTGTATCCTAATTGTCTGTAATTGCTTACTTCGTCGCGTTGCCGTTGCGGCTCTCATTGTTGATTTTTAATTGCCGCGCAGTCATTCGGACGTTTTTGGCATTTGGTCAACAGCTACCAACCCGCAGCCACATTGTCTGTACATTTTAAACGCTGTCACACTTTAAATCCTTGCTGACCCATATGAAAATTTCATTAACTTGTTCGTGTTTGTGTGTATATATCTGTGTGTGTGTGTGTGTGTGTGTGTGTGTGAGCGCGCCATTTTTAATTGGCTAATGCCATTTGTGGGGCTTGGGAATTCAACTAAAGTACCTAGAAAGTGTATTTTTAGCATAATTTTGCGGTTTAGGGAATGAGTTAAATGGCGCGTTAATATAAATAATGGAGTGTAATGGGTTGAAAGATGTACCTATGGGGAATGCCTGATGTAAAAATGGCTTGTTCTGATGCCAACAAATATTTTCTAAATTAATTCTCAAATACTTAAAGACTTTCCTAAAAATTGATTTCCAAATGCGATAAATATATACATAGTTGTATTAGAAATCAAACTTTTTTAGAAGTTCTGCTGCTTAGATTAGTTACGCATATGAATTGTCGGTTAATGGATTTCAATTATCACTTCAGAAAATAATACTTCAATAGCATAACAAACACGAAAAGTAACTAAATAAAACGATATTAATCAAAAAAAAAAGAGTAATGTTAAAGGGCGAGTGAAACCAGAAACAGTATAAGAGTTTTTGAGATTTGAAAATCAGACATAAAACAATATATTTTGCTTTACTTGGTGCAGAAATTCTCTGAGCTGATTGTGTCCCTGTTAAGTCCCTACTAAGTATTAGGTATTAGTGCTTGGATGCACTACAGATATATGATATATAGTACTTGTTTATCAATTGGATTGGATTGCTTAGAGGGGCCTGGCATCATCCACAATAGCATTGAATGTCGTGTTAGATAGGTGGGGAGTGAATTTCTCAAAATCTCTGTTATTATTCTCTTGCTACTCTCTGTTTTCATTCGTAAACAGAAGTATCTCAAATTAGCATTCAAGTTCAAGTTAAGTTCAAGCTCACACAAATTTACATACTTGTAAATCAATTAAGTTGAACTCATACTTTATGAAAAACAAAATTATACTGCAACCAAGGGCGTACGCAGGGGGATGGGCCGTTGCCCCCCCTTCCCCCCTAGACAAAAATTTTCCATATAAAGTCGACCACACGTTCATTATTATGACGCACTATTTCGCCTTAAGATGGATCTGCGTTGGATTTGTTGAAGTTTTTTCATCGATCATATGCATAAATTATTTTTTAAATGCATCGGGCATTATTTAATCAAAATTTTAATTTTTTGGGCCCCCCCTTTGGTAAAAGCTGGCTACGCCCTTGACTGCAACAATCAGATCAGTTTAGAGGTTATCGGTTTCTAAGCTATTTTCAGGTGATATGAACAATCAAACCATGCTGATAAGCATAAAATGAATTTCTGTTTCGTATTCTGTTCAAACAGACAACATCGCGCTGTGCATAAGCTCATACAATTGATAAATTTATAAAATACTGCTCTCATCTTTATCAATTGAATATACGGCAATTGCACAGTAGAGCACCCATTCAACCACCCAACCAGTCAGTCAGCCAACCCATATAGCAGTAATCAGTTTCATTTCGTCAGCGTTGCTGTGCGGTTTAAAAGAATGTGTCCAATTTTTGCCACGCTACTGGCTCTGGCAGTACTCGCGGCCCTGATCTACGTGTTTCTCATATGGAACTTTAATTACTGGCAGAAGCGCGGCATTAAAACGGCCAAGTCCTCTCCGTTTGTGGGCAGCTTCCCCAGCATTTTCACACAAAAGCGGAATGTAGTCTACGATATCGACGATATATATCGGTAAATGCTTACTTGAGCGATGTGAAAGTTTTTTGAATTGTATTAAAAAAAAATATTATAGTATATGCAAGTAGAAATCAACTACACTCAGAGAAAACAAGAACGTGAAATTCTGGATCAATTATGATGATTAAGTATTATTTGAGAATGTGTTTTTTGGAATCTAGTTTGTTAGCTTCAAATTGAAAAGCGACAGAAAAATAATATAGAATTCCCAAGTACATATACTATAATTGAGAAGTATGTCGATGTACTTTTTTGTCAATTACTAAGTGGACTTAATTGATTGATAATATCAATGTACGGGTAAATCTATATATTCATAACACAATTGAATGCAATCAATAAAGAAGCAAAAACAAACAAGAGAGAACGCTACAGTCGAGCAAGCCCGACAGTGTAATACCCTGTACCCAGGTAAACTTCCCTCACTGAGTTATATGCGCCCATAGCAGCAGCAAAAAGAGGAAGAAGAAGAGCGAACTTGTTGCTGCAGTTTGGTGGGGTTGTACTGGCGAGAATTTGTTTCGCTAATAACTTTTCTTAGAATTAACCGAATTGAATAAAATTTTGAACAACAATAGATAATTATATATGAATTATGTGTGCAAAGTTTGGTTTAGGTAGCATTTGAAATGTGGACGCTATTGACGAAATTCTGCAGCGGGGGAAGGGGGGGAAAATTAAAAAAAAAAAAATAAACTCGTCCTTACTCGGACCTAGGAGAATCTGGATGCCAACTGGTTATTCTAGCTTTTATAGTTTCTGAGATCCTCGCGTTCATCCAGACGGACAGACGGACGGACAGACGGACAGACGGACAGACGGACGGACATGTCTAGATCGATTTCTCTCGTCATGCTGATCAAGAATATATATACTTTATGGGGTCGGAGATGCTTCCTTCTGTATGTTACATACTTTGCACAAACCTAATATACCCTTTTTACCCTACGGGTACAGGGTATAATTATACTGCAACCAAGGGCGTACGCAGGGGGATGGGCCGTTGCACCCCCCCCCCCCCCCCCCCTAGACAAAAATTTTCCATATAAAGTCGACCACACGTTCATTATTATGACGCACTATTTCGCCTTAAGATGGATCTGCGTTGGATTTGTTGAAGTTTTTTCATCGATCATATGCATAAATTATTTTTTAAATGCATCGGGCATTATTTAATCAAAATTTTAATTTTTTGGGCCCCCCCTTTGGTAAAAGCTGGCTACGCCCTTGACTGCAACAATCAGATCAGTTTAGAGGTTATCGGTTTCTAAGCTATTTTCAGGTGATATGAACAATCAAACCATGCTGATAAGCATAAAATGAATTTCTGTTTCGTATTCTGTTCAAACAGACAACATCGCGCTGTGCATAAGCTCATACAATTGATAAATTTATAAAATACTGCTCTCATCTTTATCAATTGAATATACGGCAATTGCACAGTAGAGCACCCATTCAGCCACCCAACCAGTCAGTCAGCCAACCCATATAGCAGTAATCAGTTTCATTTCGTCAGCGTTGCTGTGCGGTTGAAAAAAATGTGTCCAATTTTTGCCACGCTACTGGCTCTGGCAGTACTCGCGGCCCTGATCTACGTGTTTCTCATATGGAACTTTAATTACTGGCAGAAGCGCGGCATTAAAACGGCCAAGTCCTCTCCGTTTGTGGGCAGCTTCCCCAGCATTTTCACACAAAAGCGGAATGTAGTCTACGATATCGACGATATATATCGGTAAATGCTTACTTGAGCGATGTGAAAGTTTTTTGAATTGTATTAAAAAAAAATATTATAGTATATGCAAGTAGAAATCAACTACACTCAGAGAAAACAAGAACGTGAAATTCTGGATCAATTATGATGATTAAGTATTATTTGAGAATGTGTTTTTTGGAATCTAGTTTGTTAGCTTCAAATTGAAAAGCGACAGAAAAATAATATAGAATTCCCAAGTACATATACTATAATTGAGAAGTATGTCGATGTACTTTTGTGTCAATTACTAAGTGGACTTAATTGATTGATAATATCAATGTACGGGTAAATCTATATATTCATAACACAATTGAATGCAATCAATAAAGAAGCAAAAACAAAAAAGTACGACTAATATCTTAAAAATTAGAGAAGCCTCTGGCTTCAATCACAACCACGTTAATGCTGTAATGATTGCAGTTTTTGCTTAAGATAAAGCAAAACAATTAAGTATTAAATTTAGTACTTAAATTTAGAAATGTTGTAATTAATTTATTATATTTTATTTATTAATTTATTTATATTTAATATATATATATAATGTATTTATTGTGATGAAATTTGACATTTCATCGCATTATCGTAGTCTTCCGAAATGTTTTATTATGAGAAATATTGTATAGAGCAGTGCCCCCAAAAATCGAAGCGAACTACATATAAAAACTACCAGTTTACTCTTTAAATGAAAATGTAGTTTAATTTTAACTTAAATTGCAACTACATTCAATCAAGCAGATAAATTATAAGTTTAAGCAGAACACGTATAAGTCTTATTGTCAACTTAAGAGAAACCCCTGACATAATTGGTATCTTAAGTTGAAAGAAATTGTTTACCATTGGATTATATGTATATTAATTGCCCATTCTATTTAGCAAATACAAGAATACGGATAACATTGTGGGCGTTATGAACACGCGAGTGCCTCAGTTGATGGTCTTGACTCCGGAATATGCGCACCAAGTGTTTGTTACTGAATTTCGCAGTTTCCATGACAATGAATTTGGTAGATTTGTAAGTCATATCTATAATGTAATACAAGTATATATCAGTAACATCTTACTTTTCATACTAATACTTGCACTCCAGACAAATGAAAAAACCGATAAGATCTTATCCAACAATCCGTTCATATTGACGGGTGAGCAGTGGAAAGAGCGACGCGCTGAAATAACACCCGGACTGAGTGCCAATCGTGTAAATAAATAAACGAAACTATTCCCAAAGTTCTCCATTCATTTTAAACATTAATTTGTAAACATTTCCAGATAAATGCCGTCTATCCCGTCACGAAATCTGTGTGCCACAAATTTGTAGAGTATATTAATCGTCAGCGCCAAATGGCGTCCACCGATGGCGTGGATGCCAAACAATTGTGCCTTTCCTATACCACCGAAGTGGTGTCCGATTGTGTGCTCGGAATTTCGGCGCAAAGTTTTACTGAGAAGCCAATGCCCTTGGTGGGCATGATCAAGCGGGTGTTCGAGCAGTCCTTCGGATTCATATTGTTTCAAACGATGGCTAATTTTTGGCCCCCTATAAGCAAGTTCTTCTCCGTGCCGCTGTTTTCAAAGGAGGTGGAGGAGTTCTTCTTTGATCTGATGGATAAATGCATTTCGTTAAGGCGGCAGAGTGGGCCACGCGATCGTCTAGATTTTCTCAACTACATACTGCAGTTGCAGGACAAAAAGGAACTTAACGTATTGGAGGTGACCTCCCACACCATCACCTTCCTTACTGATGGCTTTGAGACTACTGCGTTGGTAATAGCGCACACCCTCTTGCTACTGGGCCGTAATCCCGAAGCGCAGCAGAAGCTCTTCGAAGAAGTAGGCACATCACCGCTGGATTTTGAGCAGTTGAGTGAACTGCCTTTCCTCGATGCATGCATTCATGGTGGGTATAATAATATAATACATGTTACTATTCATTCTAACTCCAAACAATCGATTCATATTCATATAATTCATCTGCAGAGACGCTGCGAATATTCTCGCCATTGTTGGTAGCCCGCAAGTTGGTCACGGAGCCGTTTGATTTTGTCAACAAAGATGGCGTTAGCGTGCGCGTTTTGCCGGGTGATGTAGTCATCGTACCCGTGCACTCCCTGCATCATGATCCGGACTTCTACGAGCAGCCAGAGGAATTTATGCCGGAGCGCTTCTTGGAGGCGAACGGTGGCGTGCGCAAATATCGTGACCAGGGCCTATACTTCGGATTTGGCAGTGGGCCGCGCGTGTGTCTAGGTGGGTGACCTACATAGTAGGTAGAAACTCTAAAAACATATATTACCTCTGCCTACAGGCATGCGCTTTGCACTCACACAAACGAAGGCGGCATTAGTGGAAGTCGTGCGTCATTTTAACATTAAAGTTAATCCGCGCACACGCAAGGATAATCGCTTGGATGACACGTTTTTCATGGCCACGCTCAAAGGTGGTATTTGGCTGGATTTCGAGCAGAGAGCCTGATGAGCCAATAAATATGCGAAATGGCCAATGCAACGCCATTGTTTTAAATTTTTCTTAAAAAATATAATCGACACGCTACTTGCTATTAAATAAAATTGCCTGCGGTGGAAAATTGAATTTTTACGCCATAATTGCTCGTCTAATTATAGCTAGATGTGCCTTGAGTTGGAAGCCTTGGAGCTCCCTGTAAAAATAATAATTTTTCAACTAACAAAAAAACTCAGCCAAAGGCCAAAATCATAACGCCTTAAAATGCTAATCATGACATGTTCTTTGTACTCGGATTAATTCGCTATTATTTGGTATTCCCCAACCTTTTTTTTTTAATGTATGCCAAAGCAATTTGTTCGTATTTTACTCGAGCTCCCCATACAAACAATGAGTATACTTGTAAAGAAAGCGGAAAGTGTGAAAGCTGAAGACACAAGGGAAGCCGAAGACGTCACGCATGTCCTTGCACGGAAATGTGCAAAGTTTTTCTTTTTTATGCCACATTCCTCTGTTTTTCTGGCAACTTCTTTCTTCGTCTGTGCACCAACAAAGGTTGTGCATAAAACTAATTAACTTTTCGCACAAAAGTGTGCGATGTGCATTTTAGACTTTTTCGAGCGTTTTGAACGACTGATTGCGAAAATATTTGTGGCACATTTAAATTTAAATTAAATTGAAGTTTTTCAATGCATTCTGAATGTTCAACAATTTTCTCTCATTTTATCAATCTATCTACTGCTTTTGCAATTTGATTTTCACTATTGCTCTGGGGAAAATAAAAACCCAGTCAAATGACAAAGTTCGATTTCTTATCTCCCCACAAATTTCACAAGAGAGTAACCTTCAGACAGACCTCCAAGCGAGGTAAGCTGGTTCGCAAACAAGACTTGGTATTATAAATAACTATACATGTGCATTTGGACAAATGTTAATTTTATCTCATTGGACGTGGAGTCTTCTTATGTGCATTGTCTTTGATTGAATACCTTTATCCTTAATTCGAAAATATTGGGCATGCCATTTATCATAATTATTAATTGCACAAGCGTGCAATTAAAGCCCGAGGCGTCATGTCCTTCAGGTTCTGTTTGTTCATTATTCCCCATTCCATCACTCAGCAGCTTCACGCTGATTGAATTTTAATTAAAAGTCCAAGTTGTGAAAAATAAAAACTGGCGCCAGATAATAAAGTAGTGTGCCATCTTCTTTAAATAAATAAATAAATACTGCAAATACTTTGTAAAGTAGTTACATAATGGATTAATTAAAGCTCATTTTTGTTATTAATTAGCGTAACTTAATAAGCAATTAATGTTAAGAATTTTCAAAGAATACAAAATTGGTGAGAGTTTTCATGAAATACTGATTAACTGCTTAAGTTATCAACCAATGTAATCAGGGTCAGGACTAAGGTCTACAATTTCATTTCGAAAATACATTATTAGTTTGCACATCTTGGAAAAAATATAGATTATTCCAGAGAATTCAGCCTTTATGTAAAAATCGTGCTTTCCTTTAAATAATGTGATAAGATCGGTCAGTTATATAAAATTATATCATCAAACAAGCTAAGTTAAAAGCTCAAGTTTATGACTGGCATGAAATGGTCAAAGCGGGTTAACAACGAACAACATCCAAGATGACGAAGGCCATCAACCGATAAGCAACACGTTAAGAAAATCAGGAATTTGGTGCTTCATAATCTTCAATTGATAACTACTTACATGCTGTTGGTATTTCTAATGGATCAACCAACGGTATTTTAAGAGAAGTTTTATGCCTCGTTAAACTATAATCTCGTTTAGTTCCAAAAATCATAAGCTAATGCTTTATGACTACACTGACAAAAAAACATGACTCTATGCCTTCACTTCGAAACAAGCGACCAATTAAGCAAATATCGTGCCAAAGAGAAGTTGAAATGAAAAAATCAAGCCAGAGTCGCTTAAATAATTAATCAAAACTTAAAAATAAATCTACTACGGGGCAGAATCTATGGATTCCTGAAATAGCCCACTGTAAGTAATAAAAAAAAAGGTAGATAAATTTTAGGTCAGAAGAAAAAAGTGATAAGTCAAAAAATATGAAAATGATAATAAGTGAAAATAGTAAGTTAAGTGAAAACATATGATCTTACAACAGTAAATCAATAATATTTACCGCTTACATCGTTGGATTAAAATAATTTTTATTCAAACAAGCTAACCAGAGTATTTGAACTTATAGTTCATTAAATAAAAAGTTTTTTTTTTCAAGTTGTTTACTGTATATAAAAATGGTTTCAAACAAACAAAAAATAGAAAATTAAATGAGTTGTTGGCTGCACAAGGCAGCCCACTGAACTAAAATTGATGTTCAGCTGCTTTTGGGTTCCTTGGAAAAACAGCCTACTTCGATTGAAAATATTTTATTATTCTGTTAAGTACTATGGACACGAAACCAACAAATTCCGAACACACACTATGGGTCAAAAATGTTTGTAATTATACAAATAAATGAAGATATAATTTAACACATTATTTTAATGTTTGATTATTAATTATTATTATATTACTTCAATAAAAAAAGTTTACATTGGTATTTACGATAGTCCCGTTAAAAATTGATAAACAATTTTTGGAGTGTTTTCTTTTCTTTCTTATTGGTTGCAATTTAGTAATTTTGGTAAATTGAGTTTGAGTTTTGCAATTGGGTGCGTGATGGGAGTGCTTGTCTAATTTTGTTAAGTTCGTAAATTCAATGATAAACTGCTCATTTAGAAAAGCAGAGATTCAATTTAAAGCAGATGAAATTATTTGTTCGTTGTGGTGTAAAAAAGCTACAGACATACTAAGTATTAAGAAAATTCGTTTCAAACAAATAATAAAGTAGAGTTGTTAAATATTTTATTACAATAATTATAAAATAATATCTTTTTTACGTAAATGCATTTTAAAATTTGCACAATAAGGTGAAGAAATTTCAAATAAATGGCCAACCATAGTTGTAAAACTTAGTGTTGAAACATCAAACAAAATGTAAGTGTGTGCAATTGTGGTAAAATATTATTTTGACAGTTGCAGACATTTGACAACACTGCACCAGAACGAAACAATATGAAATGGCACGTTAAACTTTAACAACATTTGCCATAACTTTAACGCACGAATGGGTCGTTAACCACTTTTTCTATCTGCCACCGTTGAAATTGGAGTGACAGACAACCACACATACACACGCACACAGCACATCCAAGAACACCAAGTACACATCCACCTACATACATACATAGTACTTGAGTGTGTGTGTCAAGGAACATCAAAGATGCCGCTGTTGGTGGTGCTGCTGGAGTAAAAACATGTTTCACATCCTATGCGCATGCATACAACTTATTACCATATAATTTTTCTTATGCGCGAGGAAGTATGCCGCAGAAATTGTTGCACAGCATGTGTCCTGTCCAACGCTCCTCGCTCCTCTCCCCCAATTGCTCCCTCCACGACAGCCCGCATGCTGTGTCACACACAGAGCATATTTGAGCTGCTTGCTAGCTGCATAATAATCTAATGCGAAACTGAACTTTCAAGCAACACAACGCAGACACACACTTGGAACCGAATGTTCTTCTATACATATGTACATGCATATGTGCATACAAGCGTGTATATGTAGGTGCATGTATGTGTGTTACCTTGAAGTAAGGGTTCGTCAAAAACCAAATGCGCTGTATGTATCGAAAGCGTGGCAAACAAATTTAAGCACAAATCTGCACATGACACCTTATACATACATACGAGTATCTATCTACATATGTATGTATGTATATACATATGTATGTATATGTAGTATTTGTGTATTTACGCCCGCATTTGGAAGTCATCCATTTGGCTTCCCCTTTAAGTTTAATTTGGACTGCTTAGTTTGTTTTGCATATCACGCACCTCAAACAACAACTATAGCAATATTTATTCAAAATATGTCTTCAATAACACGCTCGTTCACTTTGTCAATGTGTCGCCTGCCAAAGTGCCTGTAAAATGCGACTCTTCCTTCTCTTCCCCTCGCATATCCCCGCATATTTTATGCACTCGAAACTTTCACCGTATTTTTATATGGTTTTTTGTGTTTTTTCTTCTCTCTCTCTCCTTTCAACCCCCACCCCCGGGCTGATTCAAGTGACGCGCAAATTTCTTTCAACTACCTGAAGCAACATAAAGTGGAGCAGAGGGCGAACTCATTTAACTTGTGACATGTGAGATGCCGCTGCCGACGTCGCGACGTCGCTGCGACTGCTGACGCCGACGTCGACCGCGCCGTCAACGCCCAGGCATTGCAAATATGTATGCCTGCTTGTTGCGGAGTGGAGGTGGAGGTAGAGGTGGGGGTGGCGAGCACGTTGAAAGTTTTGAATTATTTACGATGAGCGTGAAGCGCGAAATGCAAAACTTTTCTCGCCCCCTTTTTTTTTGCACTGTTTGCCATCTTTACTTGTATGGCGACTGCCGGGCTGCGGGGGCTTTTGTTGTCACTGTACTTGGTACACGTACGTACTTATTGTGCGGATAAATGTTTATTGTTCTGGGGAAATTCATTAAAAATATTATTATTTTGCAGTCTTACATTTGTAACATTATACTAACACAGGGCTTTCATTTGTTATATCTGATGTATCCTAAGAAAATTGGAAGTGCAACAAATTTTAATTGACATAAACAATATACTCATTGATAAACACATTTCAATTAATTATATTTATAAATAGAATGCCAATATTGATTTTTTTTTGCACTTGCATAATTCAAAGTAAGACTTGTGTCTATGCTTGTGTGTGAAGTGGGGCTTCAGCATCATCCTATCAGAAAGGGAGAAAAGGAGTATAATTGACATAACTTCATTAAGGGGAGACCCATTTAATTTTCACAGAATTTCGTAAAATTCATAATTTACGGGAGCTAAGGAAAACACCGAAACTATAAATAAGGACAGGGGAAAAGGCAAATCTATTGCTTTCTTGTAGGAGTACGTGTATACCAAATTTTAAAATTCTAACAACTATAATTTCTCATGGCTGTCAGACATGGTGATATTGACTTATCTTCTATCTTATCTTGTATTAAGTATTAAGTAAAGTTGATTTGATTTAACATACTCTCCGTTATAA